GTCCGCCGCCGCCGGCCGACTCTCCGCGGCGCGCCCGGCCCGGCTCGGCCCGGCCCGCAGGTAGGAGCGGCGGAGGACCGACCCACTCCGCGCGCCCCTCTCCAGCGCCCGCTTCGAGGTGAGCGCCCCGCTGCAGACCCAGCTCCCGGCCCCAGGGCCCTCCACTCCCGCCCCAGCCCTACAGCGTCCTGGCGCCCGCAGCCGAGCCGGGAAGAGCGGCGGCCCAGCGGGGCAGAACCGCTGTGCTCCCCGCAGATCGGTGGGGCGGGGGCGGTGGTGGTGGAGAGAGTTGGGCGGAGGGGGGCAAGTTTGAAATAGGAAAGCCAGAGAGTCTTGGAGGATTGGAGAAACGGAGGCTTCTAAAAATCCCCGAGGCAGACAGGGACACGAGCGACGGGAGACAGCAGAGACCCTTGAAAGGAGGGCAGACACTGGACATACAGAGTTTCCGAACGAGGGACCGGAGGCATGGGACAGACCCGGGGTTTGTGGAGCATTTTAAGAAAAAGCATACGTGTGACCTCAGTGACCGAATTGCGAGGGCCCTGCGGCTGAAGCTTTCCTAGCCTCGTGCTAAATCCCCCGGGCCTGCCTGCAAACCTTCAGAGACTGGAGATAGAGATGCTGAGGGAAGAGGCTGGATGCCGAGACAGGGGCGTGGTGGGACCAACACATTCAGCCCCTTAGGCACCCTGAGAATTCAAGGCCTGGGTGGTCGCCCCCTAGAAGATACCCCCAAACATAAAGACAGGCAGCGCTGTGCCAGACACAGGGTTGATGAGCGGGCGAGCTGGGCACAGACTGAGAGTTCGTGTAGACCGAGGACTCTGGGTGTGCTGACCTCTCCACGATAGATCCTGAGAGACCCAGACTTGGAGAAGTCAGGGGGCAGCAGACTCTCAGCCAGCCAATACCCCGACAGGCAGAGGACCCCAGACTGTGAGACTGAGATCCAGAAGAAGCCCATGCACACGCTGCCCCAACAGCCTTAGCTTATTTTTAAACTCAAATCTTGGACGGCTGCTTCAGCCCTGGGGGACCCAGGGTGAATGAACCGTTCCTCTCCTGTCCCCAGAGCAGCTGCTGGATATCGCTCCCCACCCCCCTTTCCCCTAAACTCCTTTGACTTCCAGGCCCCTTGGGGGAAGGAGGAGGAGAGCAAAGTTTGGGGTTGGGTTGGTGCCCAGTAACAGGAATAGGGTGGGGACACTTTAATTTCTCCCCTAAAGTCTCCTGTCAACTCCTGGGAGTTGGGGGAGGGGTCTGTTCTGATCCTGACTCACAGCTGTGAGGCCTGGCCAGGGTCCTCCTGGACAGTGTGGGTATGGGGGGGGGGGAGAAGCAGTTGGCATGGGTAGTTGGAAAGGCTTCTGGGTGTCTTCCAGTCACAGAGCTGGCAGCTAGGAAAGAGAACCAGGCTCTGGGGTCCCTCCTGCCCCTCTACCCTTAAAAGCTGAACATCCTTTCCTCTACCATCATGGAAGTATTTCTAGAGAGAGGGCAGCAGGAAAAGGCTACAGGCCTGGAGGCCAGAGACCTGACTGTGTGATACCTGAGGAACTTTGGGCATGCCCCTGCCTGTTCCTGGCCTCCTTAGGCTGTGTTGTAAAGTGGGGATGACACTCTGTCCTGCCTGCTTTGTGAGAGCTGGTGATTTGGTGGTGGGCGTGCACTTTATGAGGGGTAGAGCAGCAGACAGGTGTGTATACTGTGTGCCTTTATGAGCAATCTGCAACTTGCAGTCATTGGAATCAGACTGACTATTAAAGCCATGGCTGGTCCCAGGAGCCTCCTCAGCAAGATCCACAGGCTAGGATCTCCTAGCCTCTCTCTGGGCCCACCAGCTTGTTCAGGTCACATCCCAGGCCAGCTCCCTGCCTCAGGCCTGCCTGAAACCTACAGTTTGACTTCTGTATGAGTGAGGGACTCATGGCAAAAATACAGATAGTTTCCTTTTCCTGAGTGCTTTCTGTCTTTAGGTGCTTTCAGGGATCATCCATTTAAGACTGAAACAAGCCTAGGAGGTAGAAGTAGAATTATGGCCACACTTGGAACACGCAAGTCCTTGCCCAAAGTCACAGAATCCAAACCTAGTTTATATTTTATAAGTACTGCGTGCTAACCAATTGCACCACTGGAGCTTCTATATTTTAGGGTTTTTTTTTTTTTTGTTTTGTTTGTTTGTTTGTTTTTTTGTAATACCAGGAATTGAACTCAGAACCTTGTGAGTGCCAGGCAGGCACTTATGCCACTGAGCTATCGCCCTGGCACTCCTATACTTTATAGCTTGAACCTCAATACAAGGCACACAGTCCTGAGTTTCAGGTTACTCTCTGAGGTGTGTGTGCATGTATATGTGCTTGGTTATGTCAAGGTCTGGTGTAGGGATATGTATGTTAGTAGGGTGAGGGGCTAACAACAACCAAACAGATCCAGCAATCTCCCCTGAACTCTGCCCCCCACCACCCAGGAACAAATAGTACAAGGCTGGCTCCCCACTCATCCCTTCAGTTCCCCAGCCTTGCTGGGGGGGTGGGAGGGAGAAGAGAGAGGGGGATGGGCCAAACAGGTGGGCCTGGATGGTGATGATGCCCTTCACGCTGTCCTCCCTAGGGCCCAGCTGGGCTGTGGGATGCTGGGAAAGAAACAAGCCACACCCATGCCCTATTTGGGGTGTCTGTTTCAGAGTGCTGAGTGGCTTCCAGGGGGCAGGCCCAGGACTAGCCTGGGTTTGGAGAGATGGTTTCTGTACCTAGCCAGACCGAGAAGGCAGGAGAGGACCCAGGGCCCTCCCAGATGGACATATTTCCACTCTCCACCTGTGTGGCCTCCTGCTGCTCAGTGGCTGACAGCCCAGGCAATCCTCAAGTGCTGGGCCAGAGCAAACCTGACCCTGAGTGGCAGGGAGGGATAGCCCATTGCCTGGGAGTCCCCATTCTACCAGTGCCAACTCAGCTCCATCGGACTCTACCCTGCCCCATATGTGAACTGGGTGTTCTTCCGCTGCATGGAAGGGAAGCTTTGAACTCACAAGCCCCAGAAGTCAGCCCTTCCAGAGTTGGCATGTCTTCTGGCACCTGAAGTCTGAGCTTAAGTCAGAGCTATACTGCTGGTGAGAATCTCCCGCTGAGGGGTGGCTGAGAAAGAAAGAGAAAGGCTTTTCCTTCAGCTTGGGCCAGGGCGGCCATGGAGACTGCTAGTCATGGAGTCTGCTGGGAAAGGAAGGAGAGCCGTGGGTTCTTCTGTCTGTCCCTTCAACTTCTCCAGGCAGATCTGTAGCTGTGAGCACATCCCCTTCCCCCTGGGTCCTGGCAGTTGCTCTCCTCTACCTTGTGGTCCCAGCCCAGAGAGAGCAGGCTTCAGGCTTCATGGTGGAGGAGGCCAGGGTTGGGGAGCTCTGACTTGGGGACTGGAGACAATTGAGCAGCAGCAAGGTCTGGGAACCCCACTTCCCCCAAACCCTCCCCCCACTCCCCATGCTCCCGTTCCAGAGGCAGCTGTGTGGATGACCTCATCCCACAAACATGCTTTGTTCCTGAGAAAATGGAAAGTGTCTGAGGTTGGGGGGGGGGCTGGGTGTCTGCCCCAACAGTTCACAGGGCTCCCCATGTTTTACTCCGCACCCAGGAGGGGGCCTGGCTGGGGAGAAAAGGTCCTGTGTGGCTCCAACTTCCTCTCCTTTTACTCGTGCCTCAACCTCAAACTCTAAAATATCAGAAAAGGTGGGGAGATGGGTAGGGGATGAACTCATGGCGGAGTGTGTGGGCAAAGATCCTGGAGCTCTGCAGATACTGCAGGGGGTGGGGGTGCCTGGCAGGAGGTGACAGGGGACACATTGTGCTCTCTCATTCTGTCTCCAGTTCTCTGTCTCCATAGGCATCACATTTTCCCATTTTCTCCCTGCTGCTGGCAAAACCTGACATCTGGCCCTCTGCTGCCACAGCTGCTGCAGATGTTGCAGCCAAGGCTGTCCAGGACGGTGTGACCAGAGACAACAATAGGGGTGAAGAGGAATGAGGGCAGAGGGTCCAGCTGGGGGAAGCTTGACTGTAGCCAGTTTGCAGGATTTCCTTCCGCTGAAACTTAGGCTGAGCCTCGCAAGTTTTTGTTGCTTGGCTGATTCTCCTGGGAGAGGAGGCCAACCTCTCACACCCAGTCCCACCAGTTGTCGTCCAGTATCCCTCCAGCATTCCACTGTTTCTGGATTGTGAGGGGGGCAGAACAGCCCATTCTCCCCTCTAAACTCCCCAGTTTCAGCCCAAAAGCTTTTATCTAACTTGGAGGGTCCCTTCCTGGAAGTCTGGAGGTGAGGGTATGGCTGTCTGAGGCCAACTGATTGGCTCCCTAGCTCCTAAGCCTGCCCTGGAGGCATTAAAGATACAGGGGCAGGAAGTGGGAGGCTGGGACAGGAAGTGAGTCACCGACCCAGGAAAAGCCCCTTCCCTCCAGGTTTGTGAGGCCCTAGATAAGAAAACAACTTCTGCTTCCTGGTTTTTTTCCCCTGACCCCCTTCCTACTCCTATAGTCAGATACAAGTAAATACGCAAGATTCCTGGTTGCCCCTCCCTATCCACACCTGCTCTGCTCTGGTATTTCCTATGCCTATCTCTTGCTCTTTTTTTTTTAATACAAAGATGTCTTGGCAAGAGCTAGGGTGGGCCTCCTCTGGGTGACCCCCCTACCCCACCTCATATTCCTAAACAGGGTTCATTCTCATCAGCACCATGGGTGAGCCATTTGACTGTGCAAAATGCAGTGAGTCCCTGTATGGCCGCAAGTATATCCAGACAGACAGTGGCCCCTACTGTGTGCCCTGCTATGACAACACCTTCGCTAACACCTGTGCTGAGTGCCAGCAGCTTATTGGACACGACTCGAGGGTAAGGACTGGTGCAAGCAGGGTTGGGATTGGGTGGAGGCTGGTGGGAAGGGGCAAAGGCCTGGGTGCCAGTCTCCCTCTGTGCTCCTGGTAGGAGCTATTCTATGAAGATCGCCACTTCCACGAGGGCTGCTTCCGCTGCTGCCGCTGCCAGCGCTCCCTAGCTGATGAACCCTTCACTTGTCAGGACAGCGAGCTGCTGTGCAATGACTGCTACTGCAGTGCCTTCTCTTCACAGTGCTCTGCCTGTGGGGAAACCGTCATGCCTGGTAGGTCCCTGGTGATTCAGCTTATAGAGACTGAGATGCCCAGGATCTGTGCAGAGTCTTTGCAGGTGCCTGTCTGATACATACATGTGAGCCTGACATGTATAGAGACTTGAATACATGGCATGGTCTTAGAAATTCGGTGTGTGTAAGATCTGTTGTGCCTGTATGCTCTTGGGAGCTTAATGAGTGTACATAGGGATTAACATGCCCAGATCTACACATGAAAGCTTGGCAGGTACAGAAACTAACAAACTCAGTACATTTCTAAGAGCTTAGCATGTACTGATCTTACCATGTATGGGCTGACATGCTTTATACATATTTGGAAGCTTAGCATGCATAATGACCAGGTTAAGTTCATGCAGGTATACTGAGATTTGTGCTTAGTATACTTGGGTTTCGTATGTACAGAGCTTATTCATATGTACAGAGGAATTAAAGTTTGTGAGGACCTGCATACCTGATACGAGAATTTAGCATGTGTGGACAGTGTCATGCTTAGAACATGCTTACGACTCACTGAACATAGAACATGCAAGGGCTTACCTTGCATGAACATATCACACCTAGGGTATTAGAACTTTACGTAGGCAGAGATTTGCTTGTCTGGTATGTGTGGGACCATGTGTATTTTAAACTACCATTTCTGATGTTACGGCTTACCACATACTGAACCAACACACCTATTGTGTGGAAGCATGCTATGTGTTAAGAGTCTTATCTGAGATAGAAGGAGGCAATGTGTGCCCAAACCTTCTGTCTGGTTTGAGGTCCTGGCACACTCTGCGCCACCATGTCCAGTGTGCATGGTGGAGGTCTTGCTGCATGTGCACGGACACCATCCTGCTCGTTCTGTGGGAGCAGTGGTGGCAGTCCTGGGGCAGGTAGCAGAGTGGCCTTTAGGGCTTGGGCCACAGCTTCTGATGGGTCTCCGGTTCCCCACAGGGTCCCGGAAACTAGAGTATGGAGGCCAGACATGGCACGAGCAGTGCTTCCTGTGCAGCGGCTGTGAGCAGCCACTGGGCTCCCGCTCCTTTGTGCCCGACAAAGGCGCTCACTACTGCGTGCCCTGCTACGAGAACAAGTTTGCTCCTCGCTGTGCCCGCTGCAGCAAGGTGGGGGCCAGGTCAGCAGGGTAGGGGTGAGGCCTGTTGTGGGGTGGGAATCCTGCTGATGGGTTCTGCCCGCACAGACGCTGACCCAGGGCGGAGTGACCTACCGTGATCAGCCCTGGCATCGAGAGTGCTTGGTGTGCACTGGGTGTGAGACGCCCCTGGCAGGGCAGCAGTTCACCTCTCGGGACGATGATCCCTACTGTGTGACCTGTTTTGGAGAACTCTTTGCACCTAAGTGCAGCAGCTGCAAGCGCCCCATCACAGGTGGAACAGGTGGGTAGCGTGCTGGCCAGGCCATGGATATGGTAGTGGGTGAGGGGCAGAGCTGCCCTAAATCCGCGGAGCTAACCTCCAGCACCTCTTTAGGACTCGGTGGAGGCAAGTACGTGTCCTTTGAAGACCGGCATTGGCACCACAGCTGCTTCTCCTGTGCACGCTGCTCCACCTCTCTGGTGGGCCAAGGCTTTGTGCCAGACGGAGACCAAGTGTTGTGCCAGAGCTGCAGCCAGGCAGCGCCTTGAGCCAGAGTTCCCAGCCTGGGTGTGCCCAAACCAGGACTCCAGGACTGTGGCTCCTTTTCTGAACCACCTCGTAACCCAGCCCCTCCCTAGAATGGGGCTCCCCTGGGCTCCAGGATTCAGTCTCCTTACTCCATCATATCCCAACTGGTACTCCCTCATCCAAGCCCCCAAGCATCCATGATTCAGGCCCCCCACTCCAAGTCTGGACTGTACAACCCAGCCCCCCATCCCTGCAGTGTGGATTTCCATACCAGGCCTCCTTTTCCAGGCTGGATCCAGACTTGCGCCTCCAAACTTGCTGTGGGACTTAGGTCCCTTAAATCTAGACCTCTCTGCATATATTATTTTAGGTCTCCTGCTTGCCTGAGAAGTCTTCCTAGTACTCAGGCTTGGCCCCTGTCTAACCCCAGGGCTGGGGCTGTCTGGGCAGTAGAGGGGGGGTCTCACTGGTTAGGGGTCCCAAGTACAGGATGCTACCTAGTCCGTTTCCATCAAGCATCTTTTCATAGTATTTAAGCTCCATTTTGTTCAGAAATGGGCAGAGGGGGGATTGGCACACTCCCCGCTTCCAGAGTCTGCAATAAAGCAGTGCAAGGAAGCACAGGCCTCCGTTTGTTTGTCAGGGGTGGAGGGTGAGGGCTCTTCCAGTCCTGAGGAGATGGAGTGGGTGGGATCTGGGGTGGGAAGTCACCGGGAAGGGGATCCCCGCCAACCCAGCTACTGTACCTCTACTGCCTGATTTGCCTTACCCCACTGACTAAGGGCTTTTCCTTAAGGGGAGAAGGGAGGGACAAGGGGAGGTTCCAGGCGCTAGTGGGTGGCAGTGGGTTCTTCCTTTGGCACACATCGCCCCCTCTCCTAACGGCCCAGTCCAAATCCCGCAGAGGGAGCACGCGGGCCTGCTCTCCAGTTAGGCCTAGACCCTCAGCCCCCTTCCCCCTCTTCCCAAGGATCCGCGGGGGCAGCCCGGGTATTCGCTCGCGGCCACACGTTTTTTTGCCAAAAAAGGCAAGGATGCAGCTGCACGCGCCGCAGGAACATCTGGATCCGATTCCCAGCATGAATGGGTCATGGCCCCGCCCCCCCAGTGAGTCGAGTGGGGGCGGGAACGAGCCAGGGGGGCTGTCCCCCAAAGTGGAGAGATGGGGCGGAGCGCAGCTCCCGGGGCCCGCGTCCTACCGCCCCTTCCTTCTTCCCGCGGGCTGTTGGCTGAGCGGGGGCAGGCTGTCGTGTGCAGGTACGTGTATCCCAGATTACCGGGCGGCCTCCCCGGTGGTGAGGGGCCTGAAGAGACCGCAAGATTCTTTGTATTTGAAGTAATCGCTGTCTCCACTACCCCATCGTGGGGTACTCATTATTACCTCCATTTCACGAAGGTAAAGTCTCCCACAGTCAGTGCCTGGAGTTACATAGGTAGTCACCGGTAGGTCCCGGGGTTTTAATAGGATTTGCACTGCCTCCTGGGCACCATTTGAGTTATCTTTCAGAGACAGTGACTAGCGTTCCCAGCTAACCTTTATGAACATCCAACATGTGTGTCCGTAATAATTGTAGATTTGCAATTTTTTCTCCCACCGACCTGAGGACTGGGCTCACATGCCTGCCTTGCTCACTCCTCCTCAGCCCCCGGCACTTACTACATGTTCAATAAATACTTGGTGAAGAAGAGCAATCCAAGCATAGAAAACAGCTGGTGCAATGCCTGGAGGCCTAGAAGCATATGGTGCTTTGGGGAAGCAGCAAGTAATTGCATTTGGAGGAAATGCCAAGAAAGTAAAATGCATGGCAGGCCAGTCCAGGTTGAGGGGTGCGGGGAACCGCCAAGTTAAATAGACCTCACCCTGTGGGTGAAGCAGCCAATGGAAATTATAAGCAGCAGCGGAGAGGGTCTGGGTTTTAGAAAAAAGATCACTGGATCTGCGCATGAATAATGGACGGTGGGGTAAGATGAGCAGGCTAGTGTAGGTGTGGCAGTCATCCAGGCAGGATCGAAAGGAAGGCAGCCCCAGCTAGAAGAGAAAAGATTTGGTGTCTGGTTCGAGGGAGTGTGGATGGAGAAGCGTCTAGGGGAAGGGTGGCTTCCGAACTGAGGCAGAGTGACAAACGGTGTTGCGCAGGTGCCCTAACTACCCACACAAGGAGTAGTGCAGCTTGCATACTGTGTTTCATTTCTTTCTTCCTTTTTGGGGGGGGGGCGAAACCGGGGCTTGAACTCAGGCTCTTGACCTTGCAGGGCAAGCACTTATTCTACTGAGCTATCTCCCCGGCCCCTGTTTCATTTATTTCAATAGAAACACTTTCCAGATTTAACATCTCAAACCCTACTTACTGGTTATTTTTGGTGCTGGGGACCAAATCCTCATACATATTAAGCAAAGGCCTCACACATGCTATGAAAGTGCGTTACCATTGAGCTATATCCCCAGACCTTCCCATTTAAAGTTGAAGTAACACATATATGTAAAGAAAAAGAAAAATAAAACTTCATGCTGTGATTTGGGTGCATACAAAGAAAAACCTTTCCATGCCAGACAAGGCTATCTCCTCAGAAACAGTTACTGTGAATTGGATATCCTTACAGAACTAATCTCAACACGTCAATTTTTATACTGTTGTGCATCTGACTTTTTTCATTTTCTGTGGTCATCGTTCCATGAGTTCATTAATATTTGTAACAGCTTTATTGAGGTATAATTTACATATCATAAGCTTCATCCATTTTATTTTTTATTTTT